GTTTTTTCCTGCTGTCTCGCCTTTTCCGTCTGAAATCTCTTCTACTTCAGAAGCCCCCAGGCTCCTTAATACCTTGAGGGTGCTTGGTGGTTGCTGCCTCAGATGGTCTTTTGCTGGGATAAATCCTAAGTCCGGAATCCCGGTTCATCTTTGGCGTCCCACGTGTGTTTCTGTCTTCTGTCTGTTCTTGCAGAGAGACCCCAGGTTGGCTTCTGAGCTCATATTGGGGGGCAGGTTCTCCCATCCCCACACTCAGCTACCACACGGGTCCCCTTGAGCCTGAAGCAGGACGAGGGTGTTCCTGAAATTTGCGGGGGGGGCAGCTTCTGTAGCTGGGTGGGCCCTGTTTCTCTGAATTACCACGTGTTTGTGGGACCCACCTTACACGAGGCTGGCTCTGCCACCAGGGAAGCCCCAGGGTTGTTGTGTAGGAGCAAAGTCCCAGGTTTGGGGGTCCTCCTGCTCTTAGAAAGGGTGGGGTGTGGCCTCTACTCACTTCCTCTTCTGTCTCCAGTCGGCTTGTGCTCAGGTCATGCGGGGACCCCTGCTTTCCTGCCCCCACACTTGGGCGGATGTAGCGAGGGCTCCGGGCCTGTCCGTCACCTGCATCTAGCTTGCGTGCTGCTGGTCTCACATCCTACCGGCGACATTCTCTAACCCACTTCTGATCCTTTTCAGAACAGGGTGGGGAGGGGGCTGTTCTGGCCCTGGCCAACCCTGGGAACTTACTAAATTTGAAGTTATGCAGACCAGAAAAGGAAGCATTCTTGGGTGTGAACAGAAGGCAGAGGATAAAGCAGAGGGGTGGGAATATGGAGGCTGAGTGAGCCTGGGTTCAGGCCTGCATGCCCCTCGCAGTCCCCCCCACCCCCAGTTTTGAAATGATACAGGAATTTAAAAGTTGACCCCCCGGGGCACCTGGGTGGCTCAGTCGGTTGAACGTCTGACTCTTGGTTTGGGCTCAGGTCATGATCTCAGGGTCGTGGGATCGAGCCCCATGTCAGGTTCCATGGAGTCTGCTCCATATTCTCTCTCTCTTCCTTTCCCCTCGAATAAATAAATCTTAAAAAAGAAAAGTTAACCCCCAAAATCTCAGGAAGAGAGGCCTCCCCTGTGGGAGCCCACAGCCCCAACCGAGGAAATCCAAACTGGTGTGGATCTCGCTCCTCCCCGAGCCCCCGGGGCCGCATCTAGGCGGGGCTCCCCGATGAGCCCCGCAGTTTGGGGGGATTTCATTGTGAGAGGGAGAGCTGACTGGCTTAGTGTCGTCGCCGCCTGATAAATTGCAGGAAGAACAATTCTGTGAGCGCTTCCAGGTAGTTCTTGGACATTGTTTGTTTGAGATGCCGTCACCGTCACCTAAGTGTGGTTTTGCTGCTGTTACTGTTTCAGTCGTTGGGTTCTGGGGCCGCACTGTCCATCACTGCAGCCACGAGCCACATAGAGTCGTCTGAGTTTACGTTTATTAAAAGTCACGCAGGTTCCTTCCAGCCATCGTGCTGGCCACGTTGGTGATGAGCAGCCACCGGAGGCCAGGATAGGGCAGGCAGACGGGGCGGATGCTGTGCAAGTGCTCTCGGACGCAGGTTCATTAGTGGCTGGTGCAGCCGCGGAGTGAGGCATGGACGTTGCTGAGGCTGTTTGCAGGGGGCCAGCCCTGCGTGGGCAACGCTGGGAATACACAGAGGACCCCAGGCTCGGAGGGGATGGCCAGGCGACTTCCCTGAAGGAGGGTGAAGAATCTGCAGGTGTGGGGACCGGCAGGGCAGAACTTGGGTGGGCGTGTAGGTGGGGGTCCGCTCATGGGTTGGGGCTGGCGAGGGATGAGCTGGGGGAGGAGGGTGGTGGAGAGGGATCTGGTCTCTGCCCTGAGGGCCGCAGGGAGCTGCAGCGGCTGCTGGTGGGGCAGAGCCAGGTTTTGCTTCAGAAAGCTCCATCGAGCTCCCTGGGCCGGGAGGTGGGCAGGAGACCCCGGATGGCAGGGTGCGGGGGTGGGGAGCGCTGCTGCAGGACGACCCAGGGATGTGGCCGAGGGGACAGGGAAGGCAGGCTCTGACCTGCGGGCAGCGGGAGGGAGGGAGGGAGGGGGAGGGAGAGCGGACAGCTCTGGGGGTCTAGCCTGGGCACCTGGGTGAGGGAACACTCACAGAGCCGGGCTCGGGATCACCTGGGTTTTGCCTGCCCCACACCGTAACCCCAGCCCTGGTACCCACGTCTGTCGGTGGGGCTTCTTCCCACAGAGTAACCGGCTTCGGGAATCTTCCTCCCTACTGGGGTTGGCTGAGCTTCTGCACAGAGGGCCAGCGACAACTCTGTTCTGTCCCTGCAGGAACAAATGGACGTGGTCACACGTCAGTAACACTCGATTTAGAAAGCAGGAGGCGTGGGGGTGGTGATGGGGGGCTGGCTTGGTATCTGGGCTGCAGTTTGCCAACCCAGGCCCAGGGCAGTCCGGCACGCGACAGGGGCCAGTGTCTGCTGGGGGCCTTTCCGAGCCCAGCCCCCAGGGCCACGGGGGAGGGGGCTCGGCGGGCACCAGGTCTCGCTGAGGGCCAGTGGTGGCGCCCACTCTGCAGCCCAGGCCTCCGTCCCCATGGCCACCTGGGCAGGTGGGTGGCTTTCTTCCCCCCAGCTCCAGCTGGTACTGGAGCTCCGACCCGTGGGCCCGGCAGAGCTCCTCCTGCCCTCTTCCCTGTCCCGGGCCCGCTTCTGCTTGGGGCAGCCTCCCGCCGCGTGGGCTCAGAACCTCCAGCCTTAAAGAAGGAAGGCGTGAAAAGATTACGTTCTGAGAGCAGGGCTTTAGGCTATTAGAACGTGGATCGGGAATATTATGAATATTCATAATGGTTATTAAAATGTAGGATTAATGGGGGGGTTAATAACTGTTAGTGGAGTGGTGGGGGAGGGGCTGTCCCTAGTTTTGACATTTCTAGGAGAGGGGAGGCCGGGGGCCGGTGGGGGCTTTCTCCAGGAAGGGCAGAGCCAGACCTGGTTGCCTCTGCCAGGAGCTTGTGGGGTCCCTGTGGGTGCGAGGCCCTGGGCCCCGGGGTACCCTTCATGCTGCCAGCTCCACAGGGGCTGGGCTGCAGGCGCCCAGTTGGAGTTGTCCTCAGACGTGGTCTGTCGTGGTCTTGGGACGTGGCCTCCCTGCTCACCGTGGTGGGGTCCTGGCACCTCCAGGGGCATGTTGTGGGTGGCTGCAGGGGTGGGGGCTGCTCCAGAAGGAGAGGGGTAGCAGGCAAGTGGGTATAGAGGGAAACTGAGGCTTGGGCTGCTGGTACTTTGCCCAAGGTCGCCCCTGTCTCACCGGCCACTCTCTTCCCCGGTGTGGATCCCCCAAACCTGGTGGCTAATGGCGGGAGCCCCTGTGGGTGCGGCCCCTCCACCCCTGGCTAAGGCAGCCCCCCACTGCAATTACGGTGGAAATTTTTGATTAGAAAATAAAATTTGAATGTGGTGTATGCATATTCATTAGGTTGAAGGATTAATATGCATAATTATGCAAATGAGGCAGCAATTAAACACCAGTTTGGGGGGATGATTAACACAAAGGCATTGCAATAGGATGAAATTTGAAAGAAGTTTCTGATAAAGATGAGCGGGGGAGGGGAGGTGGGCTGGCTGAAGGATTCTTGCTGGGGTTCTTGCCGTCTCCCCAAAGTCCAGCTGTGTGGGGTCACAGGGCAGCTGGGGGGGGGTTGTGCCTGGCCCACACGGCGGGGCCGGGCACAGGTCCCTCCAGCCCACCTCTCCCCAGCCTGACTTGGGTCCTGCGGAGTGGGGTGTGTTCATCCTCCTGTTTCCAGAGGAGGGAAACTGACGACAGAGGGGTACTGGGGCCAGGCCGGGGGCTCAGGGCCTGTCCTACGTGTGTTTGTCAGGCCTCGTGGTCTTGCTGCCTCTGGTGGATGGGGTCAGAGCCCTGGCCCAGGAAGGCTGTGTGCCTCCTTGGGGGGGGGTAGTCCTGGGTGGTGCCTGGGAGTGTTCGGGGGGAGATAAGGGTCCCGCCCTGCCCTGCCCCTCCGCTCCAGACCCAGGTCCTCTGTCACGCTGGTTAACCCCCACTATGCCGTGGGCCTCTCATAAGTGGGGCTCCATTCAACCCGAAGGGGCTGCCAGCCTGGGCCCGTGGTAGCCGTGCTGTTATTTCAACAAAGGAGTGGCTTGTCTCCCGATCTGTCAGTGATGGGAAGGGAGAGACTCCCACTTCCCCGAGATCAGAGCTTTCGCGGTGCCCTCGTGAACCTTTCTTGCAGGGTCAGGAGGGACTGAGCCTGATTCAGATGCCGCAGTCCCTCGTGGTCAGGGCTGGACCGGAGGGAGAAACTAGATGTGGGGGGAGGAGGCTCTGAGAGTGGGGGCTCTGCCCAGGGTGGGCATCATGGCTGGGGCTTTGGTGGATGGGTAGGAGTTTGCTGGCAGAGGCAAGTGGTAGAATTGTTTTTTGAACTGCGGGCCTTACGGGTGTCTGGAGTGCTTCCTACTAATGGCAGTTGTTTGTCTTGTTTTTTAAGATTTTATTTTTTGGGCACCTGGGTGGCTCAGTCAGTTGGGCGTCTGCCTTCAGCTCAGGTCATGATCTCAGGGTCCTGGAATCGAGTCCCACATCGGGCTCCCTGCTCCATGGGGAGCCTGTTTTTTCCTCTGCCTCTCTCTGTTTCTTGTGAATAAATAAGTAAAATCTTTGAAGAAAAAAAAAAAAGGTTTTATTTTTTAAGTAACATCTATAGCCAGCGTGGGACTTAAACTTTCAATCCTGAGGTCAAGAGTTGCATGTCCACCAACTGAGCTGGCCGGGCACCCCCTTGGCAGTTTAAATATGGGCAGAGCGAGGGTTGGGTAAGGCCAGACAGGCTCCAGGGCCAGGCTGGGTCAGGAAGGGCCCGGAAAAGCGGCTGAGTTGAAGGAGGGCTTCTCCCTGAACTGGTGGAAGCCACAGCGGGCTTCAGAGCAGGGTGGCGGTGAGGGTGACCCTAACTCTCTGTTCTGTTGCCCTGCAGGTCTGGAGGACCGGCCCAGCTCGGGCTCCTGGGGCACCAGCGACCAGAACAGCTCCTCCTTTGACCCCAGCCGGGTAAGGAGTCTCTGTGAGGCCCGAGACCAGGGTTTCCCTTCTCTGGGTTGGGGAGTGTATGGGAAACTGAGGCTCACAGGGGGAAGTCAGAGGCCAACCAAGCTGGTCTCCTGGGGCCATGGGCCCAGGGACGTGGATTCAGGCCCTGACTCGGGCACTTACGGGCACGCCTGCCTCCTGGAGCTCATCTCCCCAGCAGCCCTCATAGCCATCTGCCTCCACAGACCTACGGTGACGGCACGCACTTCAGTGAGCCCCACGGCAGTCTCTCTTCATCCACATTCCTGGGCCCGGGGCTTGGAGGTGAGTGTCCGCGCGGCACCGTCCCCTCCCCTCATGCTCCCCTGTGATCCTCCGGGTGCGGCCAGTGTGCTCGGGCAGCTCTGCTTCGGCGGATTCTCCCGAGCAGAGCGTGTGGGTGGCTGGGGCCTGCACCCCTGGAGAGCAGCCTGAGGAGTCCCGGCAACTCAAGGAGGCGGTCAGAGCCGGGCTGCGCCCTTCTGAGGCCGGCCGAGAAAGTCCGGATTCGGGCAGGTCTGGGCTTAGTGCCTCCCACTGGGACCCAGGTGAGGACTGTCCCTTCTGGAGCCTCGGTGTCCGACTGGCGGACTGGCACCCTCGCAGCACTTTCCGTGTGGCGGGTCATGAGGCCTTGCCCAGCTCCCGGAGCCCCGCAGCCTCCCCCACCTGCAGACGGGCCCACTGAGGCTGAGCCCGAAGGGACCTGTGCAGGGCTCCCTGGCTTATGGGAGCTGGCGGAGGCTCAGCCTCTGGGACCATGAGGGCCCGCATGAATGGGTGGCTGTGAGGGTCCCCGGGACTGGGTGCACGGTGGGAGCTGGACAGGCAAGCATGGCGCCCGGGAAGGGAGGGGGGAAGGGCAGCGTCCAGAGACCGCCCGGGAGCCCATCTCCCAGACCAGGAGGGTAAAGGCCAGCCCCGCGTGTCGCCTGGGGTGGCCTGTGCACCTGCAGGGACTCCGGTTACTTCTGCCGGTTCCTTCCTCCCGCGTCTTCCTGATGTGGGCAGTTTCCCACGGCCAGGCCTGGTCAGCAGGGCCCAGAGCCCAGCTGGGTCCCAGGCCCACCACGTGGCACCCAGGCCCGCCTGGCGAGCTGGCGGGGAGGTGGGCACAGTGCAGGCCTCGCAGGGCTTCATGCTGTGGCCCCCGGCCTGGTCTGGCTCCCCAGCTCTCATCCCACCTGACGTGCAGGCCCGTGGCATGGATTTAGGCACCTTCTCTGTGCTCACAGGGTTCCCTCACAGAACCTCCATTTCCTCTCCTTGCCATCCTCATCCTGCATCTCAGGAAGCCCCTATTTGGTGCTTGCTGTATGCAGGGTCTGAACCCTAACACCTCATTCTTGCAGGGGGAGCTGAGAGTCTGGGAGGGGAAGCCACCTTCCTGGGCCGAGCCCAGAGCTGTGGCTGGGCGGGCAAGCCTTGCTTCACATGCTGACCCCGGGAGGAAGGAAGCGCAGGCTCCACACCCCCTTCCCCACCCCCACCACGTTTACTCCCTGGACCGGGGCAGCCCCCCCACCCCCCACCCCCCGCCTCTGGCCTCCAGGCCTGGTTTGCTGATCCTTCCACGGGCCCAGCATCGCCTGCCCTGAGGGGCCATGGGGGCAGGACTGTGGGCACAGCCTGTGGAGCCCTGCCCCCCCCCAACCCTCAGCAGCACCTGCTCCAAGAGTTTGGCCAAAATTGTAATTTTATGCTAAAGAAACTGGGAGATTTTTTCTCTAGCTTGAGAGTAATTCCAGTTAATTGTCCGAGCATCTGAATTCTTTTTTCACATCGAGGCTGGTAACGGTTCACCCTCAGTGGACACCAGCACCCGGCTGAAGCCTGATTGAGCCAGGGACTCTGCTTCAGGGGAGGCTAGATCCAGGCATCCATCTGCACTGGTCCTGCTGGGCAGCCTCTGTCCCCACAGCGGCAGGTCTTGCCTGCCCACATGGGGGAAGGGCCCCTTCTCACCCGGGGACGTCACGTGCTCGTTGATGAGCTAACGGCTGGCTGGGTGCTGAACCTCACAGGTGCACAGGACCCCCAGCCTGTCCCTGGAACCTAGCCCCCTGGGAGCTGATGCCTCACGACTGTGAATGGAGGAAGGGGAGGGCAATGGGGGCGCCAGTGGTGTGCTGAATCCTCTGAAGGTCATCTTGGGACAGTGTCTGTCCCGACCCCTGCTTGTCCCCCAGGCTGACGGGGAGACCAGCATCCCACCGAAGTTCTCTGGGTGTTGTGCACAGAGGACACGCCCACTGTATGCAGGCGTGTGCCTGGTGCTGGGTCTGCCTGTTGGGACATGCCACCCCCGGGGTCAGCTCCTAGCGAGTCTTTTCTCCTCCAGGCAAGGGCAGCGAGCGGAGCACGTACGCCGGCTTCGGGAGAGATGCAGGTGTTGGCGGCTTGAGTCAGGTGAGATCCGCGTCTGAGGCCAGGGCCCTGGGTCTGCTGATCCTGGATAGCTGGGGGGCTGCAGTCACTTGTCTGCCCCACCACCTTTCCCCCGGGGTTGTCGTCTGATCTGCAGAGGGTTCCTTGGCTGAGCCAAGTGCTGGTCACCTGCAGCAGGACCGCGCCCTGGGCCAGACCAGCTGGGTGTGGACGGGGCAAGGGGAATGCTGGGGAGGCCACACCCCCTGCCCCATGGCTCCCAGACCTGGGGTCCAGGCTGGGGGTTGCCATGCACAGCTGGAGGGGTCTGAGAGACACGTGCCCACCCCCGAGTGGCAGATGGGGACACGGAGGCCAGCCTGGTAGCTCGAAGGCCCTGCCCCCACTACCCCCAGGCTGGCCCTAGGGTCCCCTGGCCTCCTAGGCAGCCCACCCCACAGGTGCCCAGCACAGCTGACCCAGCCGAGAGGCTGATGTGGGGGGTGGGGGCAGGTGGACAATGGCCAGCTACCGTGGTCCCCTGCCTGTGACTCCTCAGTGCAGCTAGGCCTCATCCCAGAAGATGCCACCTGTTTGCACGCTGTGTCATACTCACAGTAGAGCCCCCGGGGCGTCCCCTCTGTCTCCACAACGCCCATACCCATTTTACAGATGGGCAAGCTGAGGCATAGGGCTGCCACTCACTTGAGCTGCAGAACTGGCTTGAACTCCAGTTGTTTCTGCTTTTGAGGGAAGAAAGCCTGTTTCAAATTAAAATATGCAGAATTAAACCATTTATCTTTAAAAAAAAAAAAAAAAAAACAAGAGCACGCATGGAGTCAGCCTGGCAGGTTTCTTTGACACCTAGACGCGGGTTTTGCATGTTGAGCCTCCTTGGAGTGGGGGCTGCAGGGTTGTTGGCAACAGTTTTGCTTCTCAGTCTTTATTCAGGAAAAGAACCGTGTGGCTTGGGGCCAGTCGCATCTTAGATCAGAGGGACGTCCTGAGCAGGGCAGGCAGGGAGCTCCCACTGAGGGTCCCTGTCGCCCCTCATGAGGGTCTGAACAGCCCCCGCCTTCGTGCCAGCGTGTTTGCTGGCAGAACTGGCCCGGGAGCTGGGGCTGGGCCGGGTGCGAGCCTCGGCCTCCTGACCATCTCCCCCTCTCGTCCCCCAGGCTGGCTTCCTGCCCAGCGAGCTGGCCCTCGGCAGCCCCGGGCCACTGTCCCCTTCAGGTGCCAAGGGCGGCTCCCAGTATTACTCCTACCCTGGCCACCCTCGGCGGAGAGCCGCGGAGAGCGGACTGGGTGAGTGGGGGGCCCGGGGCAGGGGTGGACAGCCGGAGCGCAGGCTGCCGGGGGGCGGGCGGTTCGCCGAGAAAGGAGCAGATGCCCTCCTCGGTGCCGCGTCCTGCAGGGTCGCTGCCCCCCCGGCGCCGGGCGGGAGCACTAGGTCGGGGTCACGTGAGCCCCTGGCTGCGGCGTCCCTGCCGACAGGCGGGCCGGACGCGCCTCGCTCGGTGCCTGCTGTCGGCGCTCCCACGCAGTGACTTCCACCTGACATGGGTTTGCCCCACTGGACCGTCACAGCCTTGTCACACTCGGGAGCACCAGCCGGCACCGCTGACTCTGCGCGGGGGTGTTTTAAATGGCAGCGTTAGCCGCCGAACGCAGAATTGTGGGAACCAGGGCGCTCGAGAGTCCACGAAGACTCTGGTCTCCAGAACCGGAGGCGGGCGTTGCACGGCCCACCTCCGCTGGGTCACGTGTGTTGGCGACTCGGGCTGTCCCTGTTTGCCGCGCGTCTGAGTGGCTACAGAAGCCCGGCGGGTCGAGATTTAGGGTCCCTGAGTTGAGCGAGGAGGGGGACTGCCAAGCACAGGACCCAGGGCGGGGAGGCGTGACTGGGAGCGTGGGGAGGGACGCCCCGCTGCGGACCCCACCCCAGTTGCACACCCCCAGACCTGTACAGATGGGCCTGGGACTGCATTTCAGTCGTTTGGCTACCGGGAAAGCTCGGGGGGCTCTCTCTCTCTGCCACCGCCTCTCCCCGCATCCCTGGCTGGCCGGGGTGGGAGCCAGGCTGACCCGGCTCGCTCACTCGTCTTGCTCCTCACAGACACGCAGCCCAAGAAGGTCCGGAAGGTGCCGCCGGGTCTCCCGTCCTCAGTGAGTTGTGGGATGGAGTGGGGTCCCACAGGCCAATTGCCCAGGCTCAGGGGCCCTCTCCGTGGGGTTACACAGCGTGTGACGGGGGGAGGGGGCACTTCTGCCCTGAGGCTGTCACTCTGACGCAGCCGGTCCCCACGGGCTCTGGCTCAGATCCCTCCTGTAGGAGAGCCCGATGTTCTTTGTGGCCAAGGCACCTTGGGAACGGTGTGAGGGGGCCCTGGGGTCCGGGTTCACAGGGTGCCAGGCCCAGCAGATGGCGCTGGGCTGGGCGGGGCTCACCAAGCCACGCTCCGGCGATTTGCTGGGGTCCCCGGCTCAGCCGCCGCCCTCTCCGCCTGGCCTCCTGCGCTGGCCCCAGGGTCCGGGTCAGGGCTGGCACTGCTCTGCGGCTGGGAGGTGCGGGTCAGGCTCTTTGAAGATCTGGTGTGGGAGGTCATCGACCCCCTGCTTCCCCATCTGAGTCCCCACCCCGGTCCCCTAGAACATCAGAGCTGAGCACCCCGGAGCCTGACTGAGCCACGGCCACGCCCCCGCTTCTGGTCTGTGCTAGGGCATTGCCAGCTGATCCCGGCACTTTCCTGCCGGCCCGGCCTCAGCTCCAGGGAGCGCCAGCCGATCAAAGTTGCCATGATCCTAGAACTTCCTGCCACCTTGAGGGCAGGCTGTTACCCCAGGGCCCTGCCTCTGCAGCCCGCACGTCTTCTGTGATCAGGGCTGGGGCCTCGGGGGCTTCCAAGACAGGGAACGAGGAAGGAGGAAGGGCTGGGGGCATCACAGATGGGCTCTGACAGGTCATGAAGGGTTGGCTGGGTGCAGGAGGGGGAAAGCATTCTTGGTAGGGGGTCCAGTCTGCAAAGGTCTCTGGCATCAGAGGCTGGAACTGGGGGCGGGAGGCAGGACAGGGAGGTGGAGGGTGGAGAAGGACCAGGAGAAAGGATGCCACTCGAGCCTTGAGTGCTGGGCCAGGGGAAGGCTGAGAGCGGCACAGAGCGATGGGGTGGTGGGTGGAGGGCAAGCCTGGGGACGGGGACCTCCCCATCTCACTTGAGCCCTCCTGCCTGACCGCATCTGCCCATCTGCAGGTGTACCCGTCCAGCTCAGGTGAGGACTATGGCAGGGACACCACCGCCTATCCATCTGCCAAGACCCCCAGCAGCGCCTATCCCCCCCCGTTCTACATGGCAGGTATGTGGGGGCTCACCTGAGACAGTTGGGGCTCCAGGTCCCTCGGCAACCTGCCCTCACCATCTGCCCCTCCACAGATGGCAGCCTGCACCCTTCGGCCGAGCTCTGGAGTACCTCGGGCCAGGCAGGCTTTGGGCCCATGCTGGGTGGGGGCTCGTCGCCCCTGCCCCTCCCGCCCGGTGGTGGCAGCTCTGTGGGGACTGGCGGCGGCGGCGGGTTTGGCAGCCTGCACCAGCATGAGCGCATGGTAGGCCCGCGTGATGGGCGGGGGCGGGGGCGGGCGTGGGGGCAGCGCCCCCAACGGATCCCCCTGACCCCATCCCCATCCACAGGGCTACCAGCTACACGGGACAGAGGTGAACGGCGGGCTCCCGGCAGTGTCCACCTTCTCCTCCGCCCCCACGGCCGCCTATGGCGGGGTCTCCAGCCACACGCCCCCCGTCAGCGGGGCCGACGGTCTCATGGGTACTGGCCCTCTTCACCCCGCTTCCAGATGGGGCCCCTCCAAGCTTGAAGCCTGGCTGGGTGCAGGAGCCAGGCCCTCGTCACTCACGTCCTTCCTCTCCTGGGCTTGCCCCACACAGGAGCTCAGGCTCCTTGGGCCACATCTGTGATGTTTGGAAATGGCCCTTTGAAGAATGGCTTCCCGGTTTACATCTGGGGAAACTGAGGCTCCAGGGAAAATGGCTCACGCGGGTCCTGCTACCTACCTGCCTGTCCCTAGAGCCTCTGTGGCGGCAGCGGACAGGATTTCAGGCCGTTAACCAAAATCGGGGGCTGCCCGGTGCTGGGTGGGGGCGTCCATGCTCGGCAGCCAAGCACATACGGGAGCTCCCGGGTGCGGGGGATGCCCCTTCCCTGAGGTTGGGCTTCACCTCTCTCCACCCTCCAGGCTCCCGCGGGACAACTGCCGGCAGCTCTGGGGACGCCCTTGGGAAGGCATTGGCCTCGGTGAGGCGTGGGACACGGTGGGGGAGGGGTGGCTGGGCTGGTGAGCCCCCGAGGCTGGTCCCTGACTGGTGGCCCCGTGTCTCTTCTCATCCCTTTTGCAGATCTACTCCCCGGATCACTCAAGCAATAACTTCTCCTCCAGCCCCTCGACCCCCGTGGGCTCCCCACAGGGCCTAGCAGGTCTGGGGGTGTTGCTGGGGAGGGGTGGGGGGTACATCTGGCGTGTGCAGCCCTCAGTGGGTGGAGAGCTGGAGGGACCTCTGCCTCAAGGCTTATGTGCCCATGGGCATCCAGGGAAGGCTCTCTGGAGGAGGTCTCCAGGGCAGTCCATGTTTGTGTGAACAGTGAGGGGCAGGTGGGATCTCGCAGGGCAGGGCAGAGGGTCCAAGAGCCAGAGTAACAGGCCCAGACTCCCCAGTGTGGACAGCGTTTGTCCACCCGGTATGTGATGGGCACCAGTTGCATGCCCTGGGTTTGGCTCTGCCAAGGAGGCCAGGTCCTCCTGTCCCCAAGAAGACCCACCTGGGGGTCAGCTCGTGGTGAGGTTTTATTAGACACCCCACAGGGCCTCACCTCTGCAGCGGGAGTCCTCAGGGACGCTCACCTCGCCCTGGCCCGTGCAGGGCCCCCGGGGTGAACCTCTGCCCAGCTCTGGCTCCAGCTGCTGGTACGGCAGGCTGGCCCCTGGGGCACCTACCACGTGTGCCGCTGGGCTGCCTTCCCCGTGGGAAGTGGGGCCTGGATTTTGGAGCCTGGAGCCTGTCTACTGGGTGGGTTCCCAGTAACTGCCTGGCTGGCTGGCCAGGGCTGAGTTTCCGTCGGCCCTGTGGGCGTGGGGGCCCCCGTGTGGCCAGCCCAGGCATCTCAGGCCCCTGGCCCACTCCCCACCCAGCCTCTCCCTCTGTCTCTGAGTCCGGCTGCTCGGACACCCAGCCTCAGGTGCCCCTGTTGACGCAACACCTACCCCTTCCAGGGACGTCGCAGTGGCCCCGACCAGGAGCCCCCGGTGCCTTATCGCCTAGCTATGATGGGGGTCTCCACAGCCTGGTGAGCTTCCTGCCCCAGCCTTCCGGGGCTGGTTGGGGGCTGTCCCTCGTGGGTGCGTGTGGCCGGGCCAGGGAGGGGGTGCCCCTCATGGGAGCGCCCGGTGGGGGGCGCGGTACACGTGGGTACAAGACTCACGGGGACCCTGGGGTGGGGGAGGTGGCCCGGGAGAGTGGCTCAGCGTGTCTGCTGTGGCCAGTTTACAGAACTTGGAAACCGTGGCCCCTAAGAGTCGTGAGGCCCCTGTGACTGGTGGAGTTCACAGGGCAGGCCCTTTGATGGTTCATTTGTCGGGCACAAGGTCCGGAGCTGTCACCGTGGTGGTGGCCAGCAGGACGCAAGTCGTGCGCAGGCCCCGCGGGGCTGTGTGGGGTCCCAGAGGCCCAGGCCCTTGACCGCCTCCCCCCTCCGCCCCGCAGCAGAGCAAGATGGAGGACCACCTGGACGAGGCCATCCACGTGCTGCGCAGCCACGCAGTGGGCACCTCAGCGGACGTGCACGGGCTGCTGCCTGGCCACGGGGCTCTGGCCTCCGGCTTTGCCGGCCCCGTCGTGCCACTAGGGGGGCGACACTCTGGCCTGGTGAGTGCCGCTGGAGGGTGGGCGGGGCAGGGGGCCCGGGCGGCGCAGCCCTGACGAGGCCACTCTGCTGTCCGCAGGTGGGAGGCGGCCACTCGGAAGACAGCCTTGTGGGCGGCGGCAGCCTCCTGCACAACCACGTGGCCCTCCCCAGCCAGCCCAGCAGCCTCCCTGACCTTGCTCGGCCGCCAGACTCCTACAGTGGTAAGCCTCAGCGGTGGGGCCCGGGGAGGGGCGGCCAGCACCTCGGGGCCACCTGTGCCCCGATCCCCTGCGCAGAGCCCGGCTGGTGCGTGGTGTGCCCCTAAACGGCCTCCTCTGGAGAGCGGTGACCTAGGGCTCATCCGGAGGGACTGAGCCGCCAGGCGCTGGGGTGGGTCCCTCACTACGCAGCGTCCCGTCGCCCTGCACTGGGAGGCCCTTTGGGAGGCTTCCTGCAGGGCGGTAGGGCCCCTCGCTCGTCCCGTGTTCAGCGGCTTAGTTCATGCTGCTCAGCCGGCCGTCGCTTGTTGAGCACTGGCTGTGTACTTGGGTCTTGTGTAGGCCCCTGGCGGTAAACTGGGAATTAAACAAAAAGCCCCGTCCCTGGGGGGTGACCCACAGTGGGCTAAATGCAGCAGGAACGGGGCTGGGGGAAAGTGGGGAGGGGTGCAGGGGTCCTTGTGGTTTTAAAGATGATGGCAGGGCAAGATTGTGCCGTTTGGGCAGAGCTGGGGAGGAACAGAGGCAGACAGACCCCCGGGGTGGTGCGTGTGGAGAGGCCCTGGGGCAGGACCGAGCCTGGTGTGCTGGAGAAGTAGTGAGGAGCCCTGTGTTGGGTGGTAGGAGAGGGAGGTGGGGTCAGGGAGGTGACAGGGCAAGTCCTGCAGGGTCCTGTGGATGGGGGAGGGCTTGGGCTTTGACCCTGAGGGACCTGGGAGCCCTGGAGGGCTGCCCCCAGAGCAGGGACCTGCCGGACTCTGTGCCCACAGGGCGCCCTCTGGCGGCAGCAGGGAGACTGGGGCGACCGGACCATGTGTGGCACCGGAAGCCACGGGTGGAGGGGACTGTGCTGGTCCAGGAAGGGTGGGGTGGGGGGCGAGTTCTGGGTTCTGAAGGCAGAGATCCCACAGGCTTTGCAGATGTGGAGGTGGTGGTGGGGTTCGGGTCTGGAGTTCAGGGAGGGTGCCGTCCAGGCATCCTGGGCACTTGGTGGAGCTCAGAGCCAGGTCCGTGGGCAGAGTCACCAGGCAGAGCGAGTGGACAGAGCCCCAGCCTGAGCATCGTGCCGCTTGGATGGGGGGCTCTTGACGTGTCAGGAGCTGTGTCGGGCTCCTGAGGTGAGGACCCACTGGAGCAGCATGGGGTCAGGCTGGTGGCTGGTGGGCTGTGAATTTTCCTGGAAAAGACCAAGGAGGTGACAGCACTTTGCACAAGGCTGGAGGGAGGAGGTGGTGATGGGCCAGTGAGGGTCTTGTGGTCACCAGTCCCAGGGGCACGGACACGGACTCTGCCACCGTGGTGGCAACCACGGCTGGAGAGGGTGCAGGGACTTTCTGCCTGGCCACTGCCTGGTGTCCCAAGCCCCCAGGAACCCCCCGCGCACCCCACATTAGGGCAGGTTCTCTTGTCCTGCCCAGGGGCCCTCCCCATCCCAGCCTCCCCACACCCCTCAAAACCCACTTGAGTTTGACAGCGAGCGATGCTCTGTGTTTCTTGATTTTTGCCACTTTATGCCGGGGGTCTCTCTGGGATACGTACAGTCGTCACGACTCGGGGGGGGGGGGGGCGCGACTTGACCTCTCAACAGTGCCCAGGACGCCCTGATGTCCGTGCTGTGGGACGGGGGTTCCCGGAGCTGAAACTCTTACCCCAGCTTCTCCCCCTCCCCTGCCTTGCCCTGCCCTCCCCTCTGCTACCCTCCTGGTTCATCTGTTGCTCAGCCCAGGCCCCATTCCCGGTGCGTGTTTTGCTCTCACCGAGTATCGAGTTCAGCATTGCTGTGTGCCTTCTAACCCTGTATTTCATGACGTGGTTTTGGGCTTTTGTAAAATTGGTATCTGGCTGGCATGTTGGGGCTGAGGACGGACCCTGGCCCTGATGCGGGACGTTAGGTTGTTTCCAACTGTCTGCTTTTGCACTAGGTGCTTTCTGGAACGTTCTGGAACATGTCTCCAGAGTGTGCACAAGAGTTTCTCGGGTGTGATTCCAGGTTGTGGGGTTTGGAGGTATGCATGTGTCCACCTTCCCCAGAGAATGCCGGACTGTCCCAAACTGGCCATGCCAACTTCCTCCCACAGGCGCTACTTCACGTTGTAGGGCCCTGTTGTTTGGCCACCTTCGTGACTTGCTGGATCCCGATTTGCATTTCCTCAGTTTATTGACGCAGTGAAGCGGATTTCCATGCGGCCATATCCGCTTCCTTGTGTCTGAATTGCCCATTTGGGAAAGCTCCCAAAGCTCCCTGTTTTCCTGTTGAGCTCCTGATCCTTTTCTTGTTGATTTGTAGGAGTTCTTTACAAATTATGGAGACCAAGCCCTCACTGGTTTATACAGGACATGTTATTTTTTTTTTCTAAACATTTTATTTATCTGACAGAGAGAGACACAGCGAGAGAGGGAACCCAAGCAGGGGGAGTGGGAGAGGGAGAAAGCAGGCTCTCTGCTGAGCAGGGAGCCCGATGTGGGGCTCGATCCCAGGACCCCGGGACCCTGACCCGAGCCGAAGGCAGACGCTTAAGGACTGAGCCACTCAGGCACTCCAGAACATGGATTTTCTAATTGTGCGCTGCAGGGCCCTATTTTATGTCAGCTACAAGAGTTTTGTTAAATGACATGACTGGGTATCTTTTTTTTTTTTTTTTTTTTAATATTTATTTATTTGACAGAGAGAGACACAGCGAGGGAGGGAACACAAGCAGGGGGAGTGGGAGAGGGAGAAGCAGGCTTCCCGCGGAGCAGGGAGCCCGATGCGGGGCTCGATCCCAGGACCCCGGGATCATGACCTGAGCCGAAGGCAGACGCTTAAGGACTGAGCCACCCAGGCGCCCCAAGGACACTTATTTTCTATCCTGTGGCATATCTTCTTATCTCTTGGTGGTATCCTGGCAATCAGAAATTCTCAATTAGGATACAGTCCAGTTTATCAATTTGTTTCTTCTTTCAAGAACAGCTCATTTAGTATTTTAGGAGATACTGAGTCACAGCAGGATTTCAGTACATTTTCTTCTGAAGGTTGTCAGGTCTTAGTCTGGAGCTGGTGACTGGTGTGAGGTAGGGACCTAATTCTAGGTGTGTTTTCTGTTTTATCGTTGGGGTTTTTTGGTTTGTTTTTTGGGATTTTTTTGCACATGGAGGCCTGGCTTTCCCCAGAGACCTCACTGCCTCCCACGAGGGGCAGAAGGGGTTGGTCAGGTGGCCCTGGACGTGCCCAGACGCTAAGCCCAGGCCTGTTGCAGGACTCGGGCGCGCCGGGGCTGTCTCGGGTGCTGGTGAGATCAAACGGGAGGAGAAGGAGGACGAGGAGAACACTTCCGTGGCCGACAACTCCGAGGAGGAGAAGAAGGAGCTGAAGCCCCCCCGCGCTCGGACCAGGTGCCCGCCCCTCCTCAGCCCCCGGCCGGGCCCGCCTGTCGGGACGCACGCACACGCACACGCACACACACACGCAGGCCGCTCCGCGGGGCCGTCGGCGGGCCCCCCGCCTGCCCCCCGCCTCACTGTCTCCCTCTGGCCCCCGGGCCCCCCCCATAGCCCGGACGAGGACGAGGACGACCTTCTCCCCCCAGAGCAGAAGGCTGAGCGGGAGAAGGAGCGCCGGGTGGCCAATAACGCTCGGGAGCGGCTGCGGGTCCGAGACATCAATGAGGCTTTTAAGGAGCTGGGGCGCATGTGCCAGCTGCACCTGAGCAGCGAGAAGCCCCAGACCAAACTGCTCGTCCTGCACCAGGCCGTGTCGGTCATCCTGAACCTGGAGCAGCAGGTGCGAGGTCAGTGGGGGCGCCGCTCCCCTCCCCGCCAGCGCTGCCCTCGCTCCCCCGCTCCTGGAGCCGGCCCCGCCCCCCGCTGTGACCGCCCCGCCCCCGCTGTGACCGCCCCGCCCCCCGCACCACAGTCCCTGCCCCCTCTGGAAATGGGACGATGACACTCTCTGGACTCCTAGCTCTGCAGATCTGGGCACTTTGGCTCTCAATTCCGTCCCTGGACCCCAGGGATGCCCGCCCACCCCAACCCTCCTTTCTCGGGAAGGCTCTAGTCCTCTGGCTGAGGCCCCTGTGCCCCGGGGCCACAGGTCACACTGTCGCTCTGGACAGACACATTGTTGTGGGGCCACTTCAGCCCATCAGCCCCCATCTACAGGTGGGGTCCCCCACCCCCGTTTCCCAGGGCCGGGTGAGGATCCGGAAAGGCCCCCATGTGACTTGGCTCCCCAGCTCAGCTGCTTCCTTAACTAAGCCTCCCGCGCCTGGCGCCCGTTAACCCTTTCTCTCCTGCAGCGCTGTCACTTGGACCGGAGCTGGGGCCCTCGCCCCCCCGGCCTGCTGTCCCCTCAGCTCTGAGGGTTCTGTGTTTCCATGGTGGTGCCTGCCTCTCTGCTCTCTGCCTCTCGCACTCCACCCCCATCCCAGCCCATCCGTCCCTCCGCTTCCACGGCAGCCCCTCCTACCTCGCACTTGCTGCCCAAGCCCTGGATGGCAGGGCTGCGACCTTGGGGTCTTTCCTCCCCCAAAGCCCCCCAGTTGGGACTTGAGGGAAGAAAGGGGACCAAGGGGTGCACCAGCCTCAGGCCTGTCAGTTTGGTCTGCGCGCTTGTCCTGGGCTCCGGGGGCCGCCGCCGCCACCTGGCGGGATCCACTCAGGCCCAAGGGCGGGTGGGCGGGTGGGTGGACAAGGGCACAGTCTCACCCCGCCCCCCACGGTGGGAGCAGGACAGGGCCCCCGGGAGCTGCTCACATGCAAGCGCTTCGGCCCGTCCTCCACCTCTGGGGTGCACACCAGGGCCGGGCCTTCACCCACTTTGTTTCACGTTCCCCAGGACCAGGCGTGGCAGGTGTCCCGTTGCCATTTGCCCCCATCCCGCCCAGGAGGAGACAGAGTGACTTGTGCAGAGCCACGTGGCTGGCAGTTGGTAGGGCCTGAGCCAGGCTTTGGACCTCGCGGGCAGGTGTCTGAGCGTTCGAGTCCTGTGTGTGGCCGGGGCCCGGTACACAGCAGGTGCTCAGTAACTTCACCGCCCAGGGCAGCTGGGGTGTTCGCAGTAGTGATGAGCGGCCCGGGGAGCCGACGCTCCCCGCCCAGACTGGGGGCCCCTGCGAGGTGCGCCCGGGGGCCATTCCACGGCCCGCTCTTGGGGCTGCCGGAGTCCAGTGCGGGCAGGGGCGGGCGTCGGGCCCTTGCCTCTTCTCTGCCTCTCCCACCCACACTGGTCGGGTCAGGCCTAGCACTCCCGGACCCAGCTGCGCGGAGCCGGGGAGACCATCCCAGGAGGGGCTCTGGGCCTCCCCTGCCCCCCGGCCAGTCCTTGGCATGTGGAATGGGCTCCACACGGAGTCCCAGACGGGGACTCCGGGCCCGCCCTCCCTGCCCTGGGGACAGTCCCACGGTGCTCTCCTTGGGGTGTCACCACACACACAGCCTTGCCTGTGGCCAGGCCGCAGGCGCACACAGACAGGCACACGCCCTGCGTGCACGGGAGCGCGCACACGCACGCGCAGCCCGCAGGCCCCGGCCTGCCCGCCCGCCCGGCTGCTGACTAACAGAGGCCTCGGTGCTGTAACCCAGCAGTACGGAGGATGTGCTGTCCCTGGAGGAGAAAGACCTGAGGGACCGGGAGAGGCGCATGGCCAATAACGCCCGGGAGCGGGTGCGCGTGCGGGACATTAACGAGGCCTTCCGGGAGCTGGGGCGCATGTGCCAGATGCACCTCAAGTCGGACAAGGCACAGACCAAACTGCTCATCCTGCAGCAGGCCGTGCAGGTCATCCTGGGCCTGGAGCAGCAGGTGCGAGGTAGGCTTCCAGGCCAGGTGTCCCGCCCCGTCCAGTCCCCCCCGCCCCCTCCCTGCGTGCAGGCTCTAGGCGCTCCGTCCACGCTCAGTGGGCGCACTCGGGCCCCCGGACGGCAGTCTGCTCTTCTGGCCCCCTGCGCCCACCACCTCCCTCCCTGAGGGACCCTCTCCCACATTGCTCTCCCCCTCCCCCCAGAGCGTAACCTGAACCCCAAAGCGGCTTGCCTGAAGCGGCGAGAAGAGGAGAAGGTGTCGGGTGTGGTCGGAGACCCCCAGATGGTGCTTTCGGCCGCCCACCCAGGCCTGAGCGAGGCCCACAACCCCGCGGGGCACATGTGAGGAGGGGCGCCGTGCGGGACCAGCGAGCCGGCCCGGTCCCTGCCGCACGCACGCACGCCTGTCATGAGCACGGAGCCCGCGCCACCGGGGGGGGGGGGGGGGGCGGCTGCCCCGCCCCCGGCCCCCAGCTCCGGGCCTCACTGCCTTGACGCCGTGGGACTTCCCTGATGGATCCTGAAACCGCAGCCCGGGCCGAAAGGGGCAGTTTTGTTTTGTTTTGTTTGTAAACAAAACCGGAAAGCAAGATACACACTTTGTCAGAAAAGATGAAAAAAATGCCTTAAGTAGAAAACGCGGGAGAGTCCAAACCTACCACTTGCCGGAGGGAGAAGCAAGAGGGCTCGCCTCGCGGAGCCGCCGTGAATCGTGCCTACGCCTGACCTGTGTCTTAAGGAAAATAAAGAACGTTAGTTAGATTTTTTTTTTAATGTATTAGGAAATTAGCAAGGAGGATGCCTTTGGTCTCTTTTTTTTTTTTTAAGCTTTTTTGCATACGTTTTGTAAGCAACAAATTTTTTGTATAAAAGTCTCGTGTCTCTTGCTATTTCTGCTGCTGTCTCTAGAACTGAGCGTTGCATTTCATGATCAACCAGATTATTAAAAGTTGTATTAAAAAGACCCAGTGTAAACCTGAGGTCCCCCCCCCCCCCCCCCCCCCCCCCCCGCTCTGGGAGCCGCTGGTCACAGGGAGCGATGGCAGATGTTGTCTCCTCGTTGCTTTTTCAGAGGTCGGGTGGTTTCCTGGTTTCGTGTATCTGGGGCATGGTGGGCAGGCCTTTCCCTGACGGGGGTTCTCCTTCCAGGGTTCCTTGCTCCATCCTCTCCCCTCCCTTGGGAAGGGGGTGGGGGTGTCTGCAGGGAGGCAGTGCCCCTCCCACGTGGGATTGCCGAGGACCCCAGGCACTTCCTCACGGCCCTCGTGCCCCACAAGCTTCACACCTCCCCAAGTCGGATTTTGTTGGGACCGACGTTTCTGGGCATAGGGACCATACCACAGGAGCATGATGTTGGGGGGCCTCCCCAGACACCCCATCCTTCGTTCCTTTGACCTGCGGACCTGGGCCTGCTCTCTGATCTCTGGCAGAGGGCCTGCAGACAACTCAGGGCCAGCACAGCAACCCCCACCCCAAGTGACTGTTCCCCAAACTCTGAAGCCCCCAGGCTTTGCACCTGATCATCTACAAGAGCAGGAGGGTGGGCCACATCCCAAGCGCAGCTCCTAGGCCTCCCAAAGTCCCCTGTCTGGTCTCATGTCACCAGGCGGGACCAACCCCACACAGGACTGCCCCAGGCTTAAACTGAAGGTCCCTGCAGTCCCAGGGACACCAGGACTGGCCCCTACATGTGTCCCCCAGGTGCAGGCTCAGGCCTGCTGGGCTGGGCTCCTTTGCTCCGTAACACAACCCCCCAAACACAGGCCTCAGGGACCCTAGGGTGGCCACGTTCACTCCCGCACACCAGCCTGCCTGACGTCCGCCCGGGGCCTCCCCACCCTCTGGAGCAGCGGGCTGCCTGAGGCCCTCCAACCCCGTGACTGGCACTCCCCCAGGCCAGGGAGCAGGGCACCCCAAGGGAAGCACCAGGCAGGACCTGCGGGCTGCCTCCCAGGCCCCGAGGTCACCTGGGTCCTCCCATTGGGCCCGCTGCCCCACCCCCAAACCGGTCAGCGGGCAGTGAGGAGCCAGTGGCTGGCGAGGGGCTCCCCGGTGACTGCCCTGGTCTGTGTGGGTCTGGTGGGTCCTGCCTCGGTGTCTCTCTCGCTCGGCTTCTGGTCTTACACGGAGCCTCTGCCCCCCGCCCCCCGGCTACTACCGGACTGTGGATTGCCCGTAAGTGGCCCTGGAGGCCGGGAGGAGCCAGGAGTATGGGAAAACTGCCGAGTGCCTCGAGGTAACTGGTTTTCAAACGAAACTTTTTTAAGAAAAAAAATTTCATACAAGTGTCAACGCGGCTGCCTGGATTCTTCGGGACGTGTTAAGGGAGCCTCTCTCAAGTGGACCTGGAGAGCGGTGTATCACGGCACTGTAGCATAAACGCGACCTCGCGCGGCCACACGCTGTCCCCTGCACCTTTCAGCTGCCGTGTGCTTCCAGGCGGGAAGCGGCTGCCACGTCAGGCAGGGGGCACGGGGTTCCGCAGCACACGCAGGCGCGGAGCCCTCGGCCCGGGGTCTGAGTCTCGGGGCAGCGGCCACGGAGTCCCCACTCGGGGACGGGGCCTCAAACCACCAGGATTTATTCTCTCTCGTTCCGGGGCCAGGCGCCCCAGATCCAAGTGTGGCGGGGCCGCGCGCCCTCCGCAGGCTCCAGGGCACCGTCCCTCCTGCCTCTCCCGGCTCCCGAGGCTCCGGGCGTCCCTCGGCGTGCGGCCGCATCGCCCCAGCGCCTGGCTGCGTCCCCATGCGTCTGCGTCCAGACTTCCCTCTTCCGAGGACACCAGTCCGTGCGGCACGGCCTCCCCCCTCCTGTACGGCCTCACCTGACCGGACTGTACTTACAAAGGTCCTGAACCCAAGTAAGGTCCCATTCACAGGTCCCGGGGGGCAGGACTTGAGCGTGTCTCTTTGGGGACAGACACAACGGTGGTTGACTGGGGCCACGGTGAGCAAAGCCAGCAAAGTCACAGAGTGACAGGGAGGGGCCCATGGTGATTCCACGTTCTAGAACCAAAGCGCCTCGGGTCAGGCGGGGAACCCACACTTGTACTGAGGGGTCCTGGGGGTCTGGACATGGGACCGGCTCACAGGGGAAAGCCACTCCCTGAGAGGCTGCCTGTTAATTTTTAAAGTTAATAATGTAATATGCCAAAGCCCACTGAATTATGCACATTGTGTAAATAGGATGGTGTGTGAACATCATCAAAAAAGGTGTTTATGGGCGCCTGGGTGGCTGTTAGTTAACTGCTTCAGCTCATGATCCCAGGGTCCCAGGATCGAGCCCCGAGTCGGGCTCCCTGCTCGGCAGGGAATCTGCTTCTCCCTCTGACCCTCCCCCCTCTCATGCTCTCTGTCTCTCATTCTCTCTCTCTCAAATAAGTAAAATCTTTAAAGGTGTTTATTTTTTTTAAGATTTTACTTTTAACTCATCTCCACACCCAACATGGGGCTCGAACTCATAACCCCGAGATCGAGAGTCACATGCCCTTCCCACTGTGCCAGTTGGTAGCCCCTCAAAAAAGGTGTTTAAAAATAGATCACAATGGTGCTAAAATCTTCCTTCAGTGAGGGATCCCCTCCCTATCCCAGCAAGGATCCGCTCTGTGGAAATGTCTGGAAGGAGCATCTCCTTGCCCCGCTCAGGGAACTGCAGGGGCAGAGACCGGACGGAAACTCGGGGCAAAGGGTGTGCCCACGTCTTGGCGGCAGCAATGGTGTCCTGAGCACGTTCGAAGGGTGCAGGTCACTCTGTGCTTGTCACAGACCTTCTGCCAGCCCCCAGCCAGCCCTCCGAGCCCTCCTGCTCCCAGGAAGACACACACATCCCAGGCCTGACACGAACCCCAGGCGGCCCTGCCACCCCCGGCCCGGCAGACAAGGACAGCCCCTCGGAGACCAGGGCAGACAAGGACAGCCCCGCGGCACTGTGGCGGGATGGTGGGACCTCTGAAAGAGCACCCCCATGTCCGACCCCGGAACTGGGGATCCGGGCCTTACTCGGGAAAGGGGCCTTTGCAGGTGTAATTGCAGATGCTGAGATGAGCTCATCCTGAAGTAGGATGGGCCCCAAAACAATGACAAGCATCCTGATGAGGAGACACCACGTGACAAAGGCGGAGGTGGGAGGGACAGCGGGAGTGCAGCCCTGTGACACCCTGGGGGGCTTGCGGCCTCCACGGCGGGGACAGCGTGAAACCCCATTGTTTTAAGCCACCCAGCGTGCAGCCATCAGCGTGACCATGGGGAACAGGGAGCATGCATGTCCTTCCTAAAGCAGTAAAACGCCCCAATTACAGCAGGAACCCCACGCCTCACTGGCAGGAATGACAACAGGTGCAACTCCTCCAGCACGGTTTGGCTGGCGGACCCCTGGGCGCCTGACACTGACCTCACCTTCTACAGCAGGTACACCTCAGTTTAAAAAAAAAGCCGGGTGGTTTCGTCCACGGTTCAACACAGGCTCCCTGCTGTGAGCCAGCCGGCCCCCCAGAATCCTCTCCAGAGGGATGAAGACACACATCCATGCAAAGACCTGGACAGGGCTATTCACGGGCCACAGCTGTGATCGCCGAAACCTGCAAACAACCCAAATGCCCTCCAGCAGGTGAGCGGGTCAGCACACGGGTCCGCCCCTCTGTGGAACGCAACTCAGCAGCAGAAGGAAGGCACCAGGGACTCTCAGAATTAACTGTGCGGCATGCAAACATCCAGACACCAAGGAGAACACACTGTATGCCTCCCTGTATAGAAAAGTCTAGAAAATGCAGGTGAACCGACCGGAGACAGCAGATGAGTGCTCACGGGGGCCAGGAGGGGGTGGGCGAGGGTCCAGAGGGGCAGGAGGAAAAGCCAGTGGGCACCCCGGCTGTCTCGGTGGCGGTTCCATGGGCACACACACGTCCAAAGACCAAGCTGTATGTGTTCAGTACGTGCCTCTGCCCCATTTCCACAGGAGGCCCAGGAGAACCAGTCTCAGGGTATCTTCTGCAATTATCAGGAAAGAGGTGCCATCTTCCTTTGAGGGCTGCTGGAATGCTGACCTAGAGTTTCCACATGCCACTGCTCAGAGAGAACTCACCAGAGGGCAAGGACAACAGAGGCAAGAAGAGCTGAGAGATGCAGAGAGAGATTTGTGATAATATTGCTAGACTCCTGGATCCAGCCATGCCTGAAGCCATCCAACATGCCATAAACCTTCTTTTCTCTTGGGGGCGCCTGGGTGGCTCAGTCGTTAAGCGTCTGCCTTCGGCTCAGGTCATGATTCCAGGGTCCTGGGATCGAGCTCCACATTGGGCTTCCTGCTGGGTGGGGAGCCTGCTTCTCCCTCTCCCACTCCCTCTGCTTGTGTTCCCTCTCTTGCTATGTATCTCTCTGTCAAATAAATAAATTTTTAAAAAACAAAATAAAAAACAACTTTTTTTCTCTTAAACTGGTTTTTGTATTTTATCACTGCAAAGGAAAACATTCTGCTCAGGTCATGATACCAGGGTCCTGGGATCGAGCCCCCCGCATCGGGCTCCCTGCTCTGCGGGAAGCCTGCTCTCCCTCTCCCACTCCCCCTGCTTGTGTTCCCTCTCTCGCTATGTATCTCTCTGTCAAATAAATAAATAAAATTTTTAAAAAAACAAAATAAAAAACAAAAACTTCTTTTCTCTTAAACTGGTTTTTGTATTTTATCACTGCAAAGGAAAACATTCTGCCTTATGAGCTGAAATACATTAAGCAGAAGGAGCAACGAGGCAGGGCATTAGGAACTGCTTGGATCCAGGACCTGCAGCCCGCAGGTCTCTAATGACCATCTCCACTCATTTTTTTAAAAAGATTTTTATTGGGGCGCCTGGGTGGCTCGGTCGTTGGGCTTCTGCCTTCGGCTCAGGTCATGATCCCAGGAAGCCCAATGCGGGGCTCGATCCCAGGGTCCTGGGATCGAGCCCCACATCGGGTTCCCTGCTCAGCGGGAAGC